TCATGAGTTTGTGATCACAAATGTGAGGAATCATGCTGCCATCTTCCACCTCTCCTTTGTAGGATGGCACTTTTTTCTTGCTCTACAGGTGGCTGAGACAGAAAGAGCCAGGGTAGAACAGGCTGCCCTGCCAGTCAGAAGATTAATGTAATGGTTATGTATAAAACTAGATCTACACATCTTTAATGTCTGTAAGCATTTCTGTGAGGTCTTCATCAGCTCTTGTCTGTGCAGGAACACTTGGATTTAACTCAACTGAACTAAGAGGAGCTAATTCACGTGCTCTTGTATGAAGTAAGAGTCAGTCCCTGCACTACTTGATAAACTCCTTCATGCATCAGCATTGTCAGGATGCAGTGGCTTTGCCTGTTTTAAAATCTTTTCTGGGCATCTGCATGTGGTGCTGCAGAAAAAGGCAATCTTGCAACATCAGGCGAAGTCCTTGATGACTGCTCCACTACAGTACATCTGTCAGTGTTTTCTGCTGCTCTGCCTTCTTGTGAGGATTTTTTACAGTTTATTTTAAAGGTTGCATTGCAGGCCACATGAGAGTGCGGGTCACTTCTTCTGAAGAGGTTAGTCAGAGAGAATGTCACACCAGGTACAAGGATAGCCTTCTCCTCTCCATTTGCTCTTTCAGAAGCTGACACTGCAGTAGCCCTGTGAACCTCAGGTGTCTGCAGCCTGACTCTACAGGGCCTGGCAGACTTCAAGCTGCCTCTGGATTTCTATATCTGAACTGCTGGATGTGCAGAAGCAAGATCCAGGAGCCAGGACCTACTCTTCATATTCCCCCCTGCCCCAAAATTCCTCTTCCATGGACAAGCCCAGAATCAGAATGCAATGTTTATTTATGGAGGAGAGGGGAGAGGAACAGTCACTTCATCTCAGTGCAGATAGTACCAGCAAAAAACAGAGACAATTACTGCCTCCTAAATTTCCATATTCTCTTTCTTTCTGAGCTTTGTCCAACTTGCACTCAAGTTGGTTGGGAAATTTCCATTGGTTTTCATGAACTTTGGACTAGTATCTTGTAGGAGAAAAAAATTAATTTGCACCAGAGAGGGACAATGACCTGGTGACATCTAAGCTGCATGTGCACATAGGAAGGATGTAGGGAA